AAAAAAAAAAAAAATCTATGTCTGAGTGTGCAGAGCTTCAGCTAAAGTCCAAGCAGGGAATGGGAGATCTATCACCTTCCTTATTACAGAAATATTACGGATATTAATGCAGCCTAATGTTATGTTAAGTCCTTTGACAGGTATATCAAACTATTGGATCTTATTAAATTGATGCCAAAACAGATAGTTATAAGTGAGATGGAGAGACAGGACATTCTCTTCCCATATCTCTCTCTTCCTTACCCTATTTACCCCAAAATGCTGAGGCAGGAAATAATACATACTCCTTTGTGTGGTCCTCCATTTTCCCATTCTTAAATGGAGACATACTTAAGGCATAATCTTCAGTCGTTTGCTCATCTCTCTACACTCGTTCTCCTGCAGATCTCAGTCACCCTCATGGCATCAATCATTATGTCACAGAAAACCCACTAGTGTACAGTCTCTGGCTTCATGTTAGTATATGTCCTGGGTGCATCCATCTGGATGTTCCATCATTACCTCAAACTCGGTCCTTAATTTCTCTGTTAAAAACATCTCTTCCCTGCAAACCATGCTTTGTGTTCTGCATGCTCATCTGTCATCCAGCTTAAGAAGGATATCTTCTGGCTATTATTTGATTTTTGTACGAAAACAAAAGCTTTGTTATAGAAATCAGCATACTACTTTTTTTCAATCTGGAGAGAAGATATTCGGGTGACTGAAAATATGGTCGGGTGTCAGATATAGATGTGCAAATGCTTTCTTGCTGTCCTGTCGGTCTCAGTACATTCACTTTATAGCTGCTGGCAATATCGAAGATTCCTTTTTTGTTTGTGTAAACTCTAATTTCTACCAAGGTGTCACGGATTTTTAAAATTAGTATTTCATTACAAATGTCTCAGCATTGGTTAATTTTTGCCAGGACCATTATTAATTAAGCAAATAAATTAAACAGCCATTTGGGAAAAAAAAGAAGGCCATCTTCTTTTTTCAATAATGTATTATATAGTCATAGCCAATAGTTTCATTTATATAGAATGCATAGAAACTGTTCGCACAATATCCAACATTTTGTATTTTTCCAGTAGGGAACATTTCTTCACTGAATTCCACTTTCACATTAGATAATTTAATAGTTTTATGGAGGAAGTAAAATGCCCCCCCGCCAAAATTGAAAAATTCAGTTGCTGGCTTTCATGAACACACCTTATCAGGTGAAGTAATTCCCTTTTATTCCTAGTTTTCTAGGACTCTTTATCATGAATGAGCAAATGCTTTTTTTCTGCATCCATTTACATAAGTATAAAATTTTTCTTTTGTATTCTGTTAAGATGTGGAATCACATTGATTTTTTTTGCATGTTAAACATGCCTTCCATTCCTGGCATAAACTCTTATGATCATGTTATATCATCCTTTTTAATATGTTGTCAAATTCAATTTTATAATATTTTGTTAAACATTTTTGTGGCTATGTTTGTGATGTATGCATGTCTTTAGTTTCCTTTTCTTTTACTGTCATTGTTTGGTGTTAGTATACTGGACTTGTAAATTATTGGGATGTGTTTTCTTCTGCTGTTTTATTGAAAGAGTTTGAATTGAGTTGGTATGGTTTCTTCCTGAAATGTATAATGGAATTAATCAGTGAAGCCATCTGATCTGGAAACCATTTGGCCTTCTCTGTGAGAAGGATTTTTAAAATTACAAACTTAATTTCTTTCATCGATTCAGATTCTTCTTGATTTAGTTTTTGGTAATTTGAATCGTTCAAGAAATGTTTCTATTTCATGTTGCTAAAATAAAAATTTTAGACAAATTGAATTTAACGGAGTTTATTTAGCAAAGAACAATTCATGAATTAGACAGCCCTCAGGACTCAGAAAGACTCAGAGAGCTCTATCCAGCATGAGAAGGCAGTGTTTGTAGATAAAAACAGGAAGTGATACTCAAAAACAGCCAATTGGTTACAGCTCAGTGTTTGCCTTATATGGGCATGGTGTGATGAGGCATTTGCTTTATGGGGGACATAGTATGATCACTTGGCAGCCTGTGATTGGCTGAGACTCAGCTATTTATTACAACACTCTTAAGTTAGACTGTAGTTTGTTTGCATAATGCCATTATGTTAGGTGAGTTTGCTATGTAGGAACTCAAGATATGGAGAAAGATTTACACCACATTTAATTTAATTTAGCAATATAAATTGTCAAATTTATTGTCATTTTTGTTTATTGGCATTTTCATAGTATTTTATCATAATACTTTTAATGTCTGTATGATTTGTTGTGATGTACCCACTTCCATTCCTGATATTGGGGATTTGAGTCTTATCTCTTTTTTTTGATCCATCTAGCTAGAGATTCATTAATGTATTGAGCCTTTTTGAAAACCAGCAATTGACTTTGTTTATTTTCTTTACTGTTTGTCCATTTTATTGCATTTATTTCTGCTCTTATTAATCTTGGGATTCATTTGATCTTTTTTTCCTAGCTTCTAAAGATGGGAGCATAGATAATTGATTTTAGAGTTTTCTTCCTTTCCAATTATGTAAAGTTATAAATTATTCTCTAATTACCGTATCATACTAATTTTGATATAGTATGCTTTCATATTCATTCAGTTCAAAATATTTTCTAATTTTCCTTCTGACTCTTTTAAAATCCAGGTGATATTCAGTAGTATACTTTTAAATTTCTAGGTATTTGGGACTTTCAAGGTATTTTTCTGTTATTGGTTTCTAATTTAATACTATTGTGGTCCAAGAATGTATTCTGTATGATTTCAACAGAGACATGTATTTATTTATTTAGATATTTGTTTATATGTGTTTATGACCCAATGCATAGTCTGTCATGTGGAATATTCTTGAGCACGTGAAAATAATGTGTATTCTACCACTATTGTGTGAAATATTCTATAGATCTTGATTAGATCACACTGGTTTATTGATAATGTTATTTAAATCTTCTGTATCCTCATTGAGTTTTTTCCTAAATATTTTATTGTTTACTGAGTGCTAGAATACTAAAATATAATTGTGAATCTGTCTATTTCTGCTTTTATTTCTATCATTTTTGGTTTAGTGTGATTTAAGACATATTTTCTAAGAATGTACACATTTAGGGTTGTTATGTGTTGGTAATAAAATGATCCTTTTATCATTATGAACTATCCTTCTTTCTCCTTGGTAATATTTCTTATTGTGAGTTCTATATCTCTGATATTAATACAGCCACCAACATTTCCATGGTTGGCATTATTTTCCTTCTCCCGTTCATCGTTTGTTTGTTTGTTTGTTTGTTTTTCTTGTAAGTTCTGAGATACATGTACAGAATGTGCAGGTTTGTTACATAGGTATACATATGCCATGCTGCACCTATCAACCCGTCATCTAGGTTTTAAGCCCTGCATACATTCGGTATGTGTCCTAATGTTCTCCCTTCCCTCGCCCCCAATCTCCCGACAGGCTCCGGTGTTGATGTTCCCCTCCCTGTGTCCGCGTGTTCTCATTGTTCAACTCTCACTTATGAATGAGAATGTGCGGTGTTTGGTTTTCTGTTCCTGTGTTAGTTTGCTGTGAATGATGGTTTCCAGCTTTATCCATATCCCTGCAAAGGATGTGAACTCATTCTTTTTTATGGCTGCAAAGTATTCCATGGTGTATATGTATTCTCTCATTCTTTTACTTTTTACCTGTTTTTGCCTTCATATTTAAAGAGGGCGTTATGCAGACAGCATAAAGTTGGCCTATTCATTTTTTGTGCATTCTGACAATCTTTGCCTTTTACAATGTTTAGACCATATGCATTTAATTCAATTATTAGTATGGTTGTTTTTTTTTTTTATCAGACAACAATTTTTAATGGTAGAATCTAATCCTTCCTCTTTAAGTTCTAATAGGAACAATGTAGTTGATGGCAATTTTCTTTTTTTTTTTTTTTATTATACTTTAAGTTCTAGGGTACATGTGAACAACGTGCAGGTTTGTTACATATGTATACTAGTATGATTGTTTTAAACTCTACCATCTTACAGTTTGTTTTCTCTTTGTCTTATCAGATTTTCCCGTTTTTATTTTGAATTAATTATACTTAGTATTCTATTTTATCTTCTCCATTGGCCTCTTAGCTATACCTCTTTTTTTTTCAGTAATTGTCAGGAGTTTAAAATATTCATCTTAATACACTCTACCTTCAAATAATAACACACCACTTCACATGTAAAAGAAACTTACAACATTATACTTCCATTTCTCCCATCTATTATTTGTGCCATTGTCGTCATGTTTTACTTCTGGGTATGTTATAAAGCCCCAAATAATTTTTACTTTAAACAATTATCTTTTTTAACTTAAAAAATCTAGAAAACGTGTTTTTATATTTATCCGCATTTTTACCATCTCATGCTCTTTTCATCTTAATATCCAATGAACACTCATAAAGAAACAAAATCCTTGCTCAATTAAGATATTTTTCTTCATAATCACAACTGTTCTCAAATCTTTGAAAGCTCTGGTAATGATGATTTAAGTTCTCCCACATGGAATGACTATGGCTGGTAAAAATTGCAATGAATGAGGGAATTTTAAAATTTTATTTATTGGCTCTTAGTTTATCATGTAGAAAATATCCTCCATGAGATATTGCTATAATTACAATCCAGCCTTGGGAAGGGAGCTCAGGGGCTGTGAATGGAATCCAAATCTGCCTGAACTCTTGATCCAGACAGACTTAATCTCTTCCCTCAGAGATTTCAAACACTGCAGTCTTCAAACTACATCCAAGAAAATCTTCATCCAAGTAAAATTTCCCTCAAATATCCTTTCTCTACCCCACCCTATCCTGTAGTTAGGGAAGAACCCAGGGCTGAATCACTATCCTCAGACCTTGCCATTCAGGTGGGATCAGAACCTTTAGTAACTTCATCTGCAACAGAGCTTGAAACCACACTTTCAAGAAATAGTATTCACATGTGACCTGTTCCTAGACTTCCAGTAAGAATGACTCAGAGTCTCCCAGCTCTAAAATACTGAAGTATTTATTGGTCTTAGGGTATTCTCGGGAAGGTGACAGTGAAGGATGCTTCAAAGGAGAGCAAAGGATAAAAGGCTCAGTGAAGGGATAGTGTCCATATCAGTGCTACCAAAGTGTCAACATTTATTCATTACCTTCCATTTGTTGGAAACTTTTTAAGGCAACAGATAAGGAGAGAGCTTGAAGGGTCAGCAATTCAGTCAGCCACTGGGGTAGCAAACACATGAAGTGAGAAGAAAAACTGAGATGGAGTTTGTAGGGCAGCTGGAGTTCAGATCTCTCCTAAGTCCTCTTCTGTTCAGGTATTTTGTCACCTGCAGCAACACACACAGTTACTGTCATTCCTGGGTTCACTACTGAAGCCCAGACCCATCTTCCCCACTCCCTTTATACCTGATCTTCCCATTTCTCTGCCCTGTTCAGGTCCCGGGAAGGTGGTCATTCCTGCATATGCCCTGGTGAACAGCGCATAGGAGCCAAGGAGTTCCCTAAAGTCATCAAATTTCACCCTCAACCCTCAGCTGACTTTGAGGCCATCCTACATGCTTCATGTCTCCAAAGTATCCTGACAAGGGTAAGGGCCACATTACTGAGGGCAGAGAAGAAGCTTAACCCTGCAAAAAACTTGGAAGGGACAAACATCCAAACCATATCAATGAAGGCAATGAAGGAAGGATACTTGCTCACATTGTGTAAACTGCTCTTTGAAAGGATTTCAAAACCAAGATAAATTTTCTAAAATGATCTCTGTTGAACATCTGACAGCAGCACTTCCTCCTTCCTGGAATTCTTTAATTCCTTGGTTTATGTGACAACATATTCTAATTATTCTGCCTCTCTGATTCTTCTCCATTTTTGTTAAATACTCCTCTTTTGATATTTTGTTAATCATGTATCTTTGCATTAATTTTGCTTTTTCAAGATATTTCATTAAAATATGCTTCACTTTTATTACTGAGTTCTTTTGGTATCCCCCAAATTTTGCACCTAAGTCAAGTGCATCCCTTACATCACCCTAGTCCCAGCCCTCCTTTCCATACTTCCTCTTAACATCTGACATTCTCCATTCACTTTATTCTGTTATAAATCATTATAGATATAATTATAAATTGAGTGAACAAAGAAAAATAAGGAAGAGTTTCTCCTACTGGATACTAACACACACTAGAATGTCGTAGTAATCAAAATACTAGGACACTGGTACAAGAAGAGACAAACAGAACAGTGGAACAAGATGGAACCCAAACAGAGGCCTGTTTGTAATGGGAGCTTTCAGTACAGCAAAGGACATGCCATGAACTTATGGAGAAAAGGTGAACTATTTAGTAGTTGTGGGAACACTGGCCCTTTATGTAGAGAAAAATAAAACATGCTCCCCATCAAACACAAAGATGAATCCTAGATGAATTAAAGTGATAAATGTGAAATTTAAAACTACAGGAGATATTTTAAGAGTATCTTTGATATCTCAGTACAGGGAAGACTTCTTTTTAAAAAGACACGCAGGCAGGGCACAGTGGTTCACACCTGTAATCCCAGCACTCTGGGAGGCCGAGGCGGGTAGATCACAAAGTCAGGAGATGGAGACCATCCTGGCCAACATGATAAGACCCCACCTATACTAAAAATACAAAAATTAGCTGGACATGGAGGCACATGCCTGTAATCCCAGCTACTTGGGAGGCTGAGGAAGGAGAATCTCTTGAACCAGGGAGTCAGAGGTTGCAGTGAGCTGAGTTTATGCCACTGCCCCCCAGCCTGGTGACAGAGCAAGACTCCATCAAAAAAAAAAAAAGAAAGAAAGAAAGAAAGAAAGAAAGAAAGAAAGAAAGAAAGAAAAGAAAAGACAAACAAACAAAACAAAACAAAACAAAAAACAGTTGATGGCCTTCATTACAAAATACTAAGGATTTCTCTTCAATAAAGGAAACCAAGGAGAAAGTTGCCAGAAGTCAGATTAGGGGAAAACATTTGCAATGCCTACAACTGACAAGGGACTACTAGCAGAACTATATAAGGATCTCCTGCAAATCAATAAGAAAAATATAGAAGCCCACAGTATGGGCAAATAATTTGAACAGGTAATTTATAGAAAAGGAACCCCCAAGTGGCTAATCAGTCCCAATTATAGCCCCAGTTATAAGCAATTAAAGAAGTGCAAAATAAAACAGCACATTTCTTTATGCACATGAAATTGGCAAAAGTCAGAAAACTGGATAACCTCTGGTGTTGATGTACATTTGGGAGTTGCAGGATATTTCAGGTACTGACAACAGAAGTACAGATGAGTATAGCCATTCTGATGAACAGATGAGCAGTACTTAGTCAAATTAAGGAGCTGCATCTCCATCGACCCAGCAACCCCTTTCTAGGATACATACATTCCAGGAATGCAGATCAGGTCCACATGCATATGCAGGTCCATGTGAGATACAAGCATTGCTTGTAATAATGGAGATCCAGGGATAATCCAGGAGCAATATAGATACGTGGATTGATATGATTTGGATATTTGTCCCTTCCTAGTCTCATGTTGAAAATTGATCCCCAGTGTTGCAGCCGGGGCCTGGTGGGAGGTATTTGAATCATGAGAGAGACTCCCTCATGAATAGCTTGGTTCCCTCTCTAGGGTAATGAGTGAGTTCTCACTCTATTAGTGCGCATGAAACCTGGTTGTTAAAAAGAGCCTGGCACCTCTTTCTCTCTCTCTTTCTCCCTCTCTGACCATGTGATGCACCGGCTCCCCTTGCCTTCCACCATGAGTAAAAGCTTCCTGAATCCCCCAACAGAAGCAGATGCCGGTGCCATGTTTCTCGTACAGCCTGCAGATCTGTGAGCCAATTAAAGCTCTTTTCTTCATAAATTAGGTAACTTCAGGTATTCCTTTATAGCAATGCAAAATGGACTAATGCATGGACTTATAGAGCAAAACATTATGGAAGATTTGGAAGAAACAAACTGGATGTACAAAATTAGATCTATAATTTAATGTCATTTTGGCTAATTAAAATACATGTACACTGAACACTAATACGTATTATATAGGATCTATGCAAATGAAAGGAAACAGCAAATTCATTAAAATGTTCGCCTATGAGGTCGGGGTAAGAGGTTAGATATGGGAGTAACGACTGGGGATAAAAGGGACCAAATAAATCGAGAGAGATTGAGAGCTCGGAGGCACCAATGATGATAGTATAATGAACTGAGAAGTCCTTAACCTTTTGTACCTGATGTCCAGCATGAATAACAACAATAATAATGAATTAGATGTGGTCATCTGCATGGAAGTTCACTATCTAATGCTAAGAGAATTCCCAAAACACTTACAAATATAAAACATGGTGAGTGTTATGAAAAATAGAAAACTATAAGATCTCTGGAGGGGCATTTTTTGTGTGGCATTGCCATGGAATGAGTCCAAGTAAAGACAGTAAATAGTACAGGTACCCACCACACTGTGTTGTAATTATATATAGAAATATGGCTCTGCCTCCATTAATAGACAATGGACTCTTGGAGAATTTGAACTTGGTCTTTTCCTTCACAAAATAGGGTGTATAGTATAGTGGATAAACAGTCTTGGATCTAGACTTTCTGGATTGGAAGCTAGCCTACTACTTCATAGCTGTGGGAACTTGATCAAGGTGCTTAAGGTCTCTGTGTATGTAAAAAGATAGAAGTATTTCTCATGTGAAATGGTGAAAATAATAGTACCTACCTCAAAGACTATTTGTGAGAATAAAGTGAGTTAATAAACGTAAACGCTCAGAATAGCGCCTGAGCATATTAACTACTGTTAGTTATCAATGTTGTTGTTGTTATGCGGCTGAATGCTTTTAACCCATTAGAAGATCAATGAACAATTATCAGATTGAATTTTTCCTCCCTTCCTTACATTCTACAAATCCTAGAGCCTCCTCTTTACATTCCCACCTTTACAGTACTTCACAGGGGCCCCTGGGCCCGGGGATCACGGCCAGATCGCAGAGACTTTATGATGAGGACAGTGCCCACGATGATGCCCACTAGGCCCAGCACCAGGCCCAGGGCACAGAGCACAGTCTCCGTTGTCTCAGGCATCTGGATTGGCTCTTGGGCCTCTGGGGGAAGAATGAAGAGATAGGGTCAGGAGGTGCAGTGAGGGTGGTTCTGGTGTGGGATGGGTGTGGGAATTGAAGGTTATGGATAGTTAATTGGACATTAGGATGAGGAGAGGACTGAGACCTGGCCAGTGGGGAAAGCTGGTGCAGAGGACACCAGGTCCTTGGAATAGAGGATGCCAGAAGATTATGGAGAGAAAAGGAGCTGCATACCCCAGTGTTTGAGGAGCGGCTGGTCCAAGCCCCAATGCTCCACCCTGCAGTCATAGTAGTCCTCGGCTGACGGCACAAAGGTCAGGTAATGGAACTTGTGGAAGCTATAATCTGTTCTGGGCAGGAAGAGGCTCTCAGCGACACCCTCAGTGACCGGCTCCCCATTGCACAGCCACGTGACGTTGAGCACCGGAGGGAAGAACTTGTCAATGTGGCAGATGAGGGTGTTGGGCTGTCCCAGCTCCACAGGCTCCTTGGGAAACACGGTCACCTCAGGGGGATCTGGGAGGAGAGAGCACCACGTTAGGCCCCTCTTCTGGGATGAATCACAAAGGCTCCACCTCTTGTGGGGGAGGAGGGTGGTCCTCTACCTCAGCCTTAGATTTTATGGCAGCTCTGAATCACAGAGAGGGGTATCACACCACTGACCAGCCTCACTCTGCTCATCTTTCTCTCTCCTGAGAAGAGAAGATGCAAGCCCTTGCTGTAGTGGGATCAGCCCATGGCCACTAGGAGAAGAGGATTACACAGCAGGGGGCACTTAGGCTTCCTAGTCTAAGGGTGGCAGAGAAGCCCTCTCATCCCTTCCAGTTGGGCTACAGAGGAAGAGGCAAAGATAGGCAATACCATTGGCGGCCTGAGTGTAGTTGGAACGCTGGATCGTGATATTCAAGTTGTTGTTCAATATAGCAATGTTAGCCAGCCCGCCCTGAGCCTCAAAGGAAAAGGCTCGGCCAAACTCCTCCAGATGCCAGACGGTCTCCTTCTTGTCCAGATCCACATAGAACTGCTCATCTTCATCAAACTCAAACATAAACTCCCCTGTTGGTCTATGTGTCTGTACAAACGTGGCATAAGTTGATACATGGTCCGCTGCATAAAGAAAGTAGAGAAAAACATGACAAAATGTCAATTTGAATATGCAAGTGGTGAAAGCTAGAGAATGAATAAAGACTTACGAATATAAAAAGGAAGAAGGTAAGAGGTCAAAGGCAGGACATATGGGGAAGAGAGACCAACACCATTAAGGAAATAATACAGAGCGGTTGAGTAGTTATAAAAAGAAAGGAGCGAAGAACAAAATGAAGTTTATCTTTGATAAGTCAAGCTGCTTCCCGGTCTTTGAAAGTCTGGGCATCCTGACCCTACAAAATAGCAATAGTAACAATGACAGCTAACATTTGTTGAGCACTTACTTGCGCCAGGCATCCTTCTAAATACTTTATATATTTCACTCATTGAATTATCACAATACCCTATGAAGCAAATACATAGCATACTATTTTATAGGTAAGGAAATGCAGAGAGGTTATATATTAATAACTGGCCAAGGTCATACAGCTACTGGTGGAACTAGTAGATTTTTTCTACCCTTAAGGTCTTAATTCTTCTAAGACACAGATGTAAAATTGTTTTTCGAGTCATGGGGTGGGAAAGTGGACATTTTATTTTTCTTATTGCAGAAAGAGAAAAATAGAAAATTGGGAGGACAAAGAAAATATCCTTCAAATTTTAGTGTTCTTGACAGTTTTAAAGTTTCTGTCTTAGTTTATGAACATGAAACTAGAATGTACAGCTTTGTTGATAATATTTTTCACTTGGGGCATATAAATTCAAAAGTACAGTACAGTTATTTTGGCATTTGTTCCAAACTTTTTGTTTCCTTTTAAGAAATATTTTAACATTTATTTTATGTTCAGGGAGGGGTACATGTGCAGGTTTGTTGTACAGGTAAAGTCATGACTCGGGGGTTTAGTGTGCAGATTATTTCCTTACCCAGGTACTAAGCATTCTAAACTTTTCTCACATTTATATTTTGATTTTTGTTTTAGAGGCCAACTAGAAATTATTGCTGAGTTGGAAATACCTGTAGGATTTAATTTATTTTGTTTCTTAATCTGTATTAGTTTGCAAGAAGTAGCAAAGATAAGAGGATAAATGCAATTATCATCATGAAAGAAAACAATGAATGTATATGTGAAAGTCTGGGTTTAGAATGATAAATGCATGAGAGCAAGAAGGTACTACAGGGCTCATTGGCTCTCACCTCCCAACTCACAAATTTCCCTGTGAGTTTGCAGCCCTGACATGTCGGGACCCAGTCTGTGCTTGGCCACTTACAGTGACAGGGAGAATGACTCTGAGTCTCAAAGGAAAAGGCTCAGCCAAACTCCTCCAGAAGGTCTCCTTCTTGTCCAGATCCACATAGAACATCTCATCCTCATCAAACTCAAAAATAAACTCCCTTGTTGGTCTATGTCTCTGTACATATATGTACAATGACTCTCTGTCACTGTAATTGTAAGTGTCTGGAGGATAGAGTCTGTGTCTTATTTTGCACTGAGAATGACTCCCTGTCACTGTAAGTGGCCAAGCAGAGAGTGGTATTTCAAACTAAACAAATTAAATTAAATCCTATAGGTATTTCACAAGGAAACTTAGCTTCCTTCTCAGTTTAAAGGACTCAAAGGACTCATCAGGAAAAAGAGGGTAAACTAAAAAGACACAACGTCCTCTAGCAGTTATTGGGAACTCATCTTCCTAATATGTGAATGTTCCTTATAGTTTTAAAAAGGCATTTTTAAAAAACACTTTCACAAGTTCTGCAGTCTAAAGACCAACCAGATATTAAACAGATTATTTTACTTAAAAATATCATTTCCATTTAGACAAAAATGTGTATTAAAAGACTACTATATGTCAAACACTGTTAGATGCTAAATATTCAAATAAAAATAACACATAGGTCCTGTTCTGCAGACTTGTACAATTCACAGAAGGAAACACAAGAGACAAGGCAATAGCAGGTTCAGAAGGATAAGTGCAGATATGTGGGTATACACAAGATGCGATCAAACAGCACATCAGGGAAGGCTTCCTGGGGAACAGATGGCTTCAATGTAGGCATTCAGAAAACAGGGCAAAAGCCACTTCTCACAGGGAAGACAGCCTGACCAGGAGAAGATACTGAGTTCACTGTGGGGCTATTGCAGTAGACGATCTGGAAGTCATCTAAGGAGAAATAATACATAGACATTTGTGGATGATGGGTGGTCTCAGGAGAGGAGTTTAGGCCAGAAAACTGACAGTCATTAGAGGCAGGTGCAGGTTAGATGAGATTTTCCAGGAAGAGTGCCAAAAGTCAGAATTGCAGAGATCTCAGGGTATGAGAGAACATGATAATTAAGAGGTGATTTAAAGGATGATAAGGAGGATCCAGGGAAACAGGAGAAAAATAAGGACAGGGTAGCTCATCACAGATAAGTGGATTACAGTGCAAATATTATCAGTAACTCAAGTCAGAGGCACTGAGAAGAACCCACTTGATTTGACCTTCTGCTGAGGTTCCTGATGGCCAAGATGAGAGGGTCCTAAGGGATGTACCGGAGGCAAGTCAGAAGCTTAGCTCCAAGTGTGAGGACACAAAGGAAGTGTCTCTAAGGTAGGATGCAGACTGAAGTCACGGTTGTTTTTTATTAGTTGATTTTCACTTACGTTTTTAAGGTAAAGGACATGTTTAAATGTTAAGAGACAAGGAACCACTGGGGGCAGGGAAGCCCTGAAGAGACAGCTGAGCTAATTAGGAATTTCTAGGAAGAATCCTAAAATGTATTCAAATCTATGAAGAGATGCCCATTGTGGTGTTTATTGTAACATAAACGTTAGAAATAACCCAGGTGACCATGAACAGGGCAATAGATATTTCTGGTCTCCACAGCCTCACCTCCTGTTTATTCCACACATCTTAAATAAAACTGTCTGAGGCCAGTGTGCATCTTGTATGTTATGGATTCTAACCTTCCCCATCACTAGGTTTTGGGATGACAGCATCATACACAGGCTTGATGTCATTCTCCCTGATGTCAGCTATGGGAAGAAAGAGCATTCACCACGGCTCATCTCTGGCTGAGTCCTTGCAGCTATCCAAAGCCTAGGCCCGCCTTGCAGTCCCGGATCTCTCAGAACCCAAATCACAAGGGCTATCAAGACCATGCAACACTGCTGTCTTGAGAGAGGAAAGCTTGTGACCACCCACAAAGACCCAGGAAGGGCCCTAGGGTCCTAGTAGAGAGGGAGGATGGGAGGATACAGGAAAACTCAGCACTTTCTCTCCTAATGCAGAGCCCATAGCTCGGAGTTCCTGTGAAGCAGCCACAAAAGACAGAGGCTGGGGATCCCAGAGAGACAGGAGGGGTGTGGGGCCCTGCAGGGCCCTGGTAGAAGTTCACTGTGTGCAGGAATCTGGGGAAGGCAGTGTATGACCCTCAGAGCTGGGTCTGGACTTCAAACTTGGCTAGTTGATCTGCTGTGTAACCTTGGAAAACATATTCATCTTTTTGAGCTTCAGTTTTTTCAAAATAATTTCTAAATAAAGGGAATGATTTCTAAATGAAGGGAATAATATCTTCATTGAAGTTTCCTGTGAGATGTAAATGGGGAAAGAAACTATGCAGGCGTGTCATAAATTCTGGCTGCTATTGCTGTTGTTATTATGAGGGCCAGAGGGAACACAGACTATCATGAGGGTCAATGAGCCCCTAAAATCTCTGATTCCTGAAGCAACAATTGATGTGAGCCTCCCCACCACTCACCCCGACGCTCTTGTGTCCTCCTGAGCACTCACCCTTGATGGCCCCAGCTCCTCCGAGACTCAGCAGCAAAGCCAAGGAGAGGGTTCTCAAGATAACAGCTCTGGTCTGGAACATTCTGTCTTCAGGGCGCATGTTATAGGGTCTATAATTGATGACCGCGAGCACAGGAACAGTGATAATGAACTGAGCCGGGTGGAGGCAGATGAGACTCTGAAACTGTGGGCTTCTAGCACTGGAAATGGTCAAAATGGGTGGAGAGGAGTCAGCATGGCTGGGCTTCACCAATCAGAGAAATCATAGAGCTGACATTCTCTGTTGCTGGGTAAAGAGGATGCTGGAAGGTGCTGGGGAAGAGATGGGAGAATTTTAGGTACCAGCGTGGTCAAGAGAGCTCCAGTTCACAGTTTGTTTTCAGAGTTAGAGAAAGAGATGTGGAAAGATAAGTCACACCTTCTTCTGATGGCAAATGTTTTCCATTATGTTCCTTCTCCCCACCCCCACCCCCATCCCAGGCAGTCAGATGATCTTTGATGGTTTTTGGTCACTATATTTTAAATCATGTTTTATGTTACGTTGTCAAGTTTACAAAAATATTCTGCTGATAATTAAGAATGAATGCTCTATCTAATAAAATATGTAATTAATCTTTCTTTCAGGTCCACCTCCCTGAGATATCTACTTTTAATTTAATCATTTCTGCAGAAGTGTTATAATTTCTATTTAGTGGTTTTAATTAACTCGAATGAAGTTGATCTTTAAGTATTTATCTATTCCTGGTTACCTTTGTTAGTGAAATTTCTAGATAACTTTTATTATTCAGATATCTTAGTATTTGACTTTTCCTGGTGTTTAAACAGGTATTTATCTTTAAATTACTAGTCATGTTATTTCATTTTCATATAAGAATACCCAGGACAGCATTACCTGTGGTAACAATGTACACCCATATTTTGATCTTGTTTTTGAGAAGGGTTTCTCTAATGCTTTTCTGTTACAGGTAATGTTCATTTTTTAATTTTATATTGTCTTTATCATATTTAAGAAAATATTTTTCTAGTCTCATTTTAAATATTTCAATTTTGAGCTATTTCTTCGACACTCATAGAGAAGATCACAAAACATTTATTATTTAATGTAATGATGAAGTACATAAATTACATTAATATTTTATCTTATTTGTGGTAGCCTTACCTTGCATAAATAACAATTACTAACAGATTAGCACATGAGAAATGCTGTTATTAGTGCTTTGCACGCATTACCTCATTTAAACCTCACATTACACCTGAGGGAGGTATTATTAATGTCTACTGTAAAAATAAATTACCTGAGACATCATCGAGGAATTAAGTATCTGTCTAATTATGGCAGATAAATGACAAGGAGAAGAGTCCCATCCAGGCAATTACTAAAAACCTGAGCTTTTCTCCACAATCCTTTCCTGGCCCCTCAATCCTACTGGACACCTTCTACTACATAATTATTTTCTTATCTTGCATTTTACATGGTAGCCTTCTATTTACATTTTAATATTGATTTAAAGAAATTATGCCAATTTGATTCTTTTTTGAAATTAGAATTGGTGGTCCAACAGGATCACATTTACAAGTGTCTAAAGTAAGAAGTAGTGTTCTTTGTACGTTTGTAAAAATATTCACTATAAACAAAATAGAATCAGATGCTTTGAAGGAGGTGGGGTCTTTGATGATTCTTTTTTCACTTTCTTCCTTATTTGCTAGTCAATTTATATTCTCTATGGGCTTTATTTTTCCAAAGCAATTTCAGACCTATCAATCTCATTTGATCTTAAGAGCTTTGCTATAAGGCAGGTTCTATCATCTCCATATTGAAGACAAGGAATCGAAGTCCAAAAGAGGTAGTGTCCTTAAAGCTGCATACTTACCTGGTAGGGTGAGTGGTGTGTTCATGCTTCCGGTGTTAGGTCCCTAGACTGAGCCCTGCTAACCCTGATGAGAGTCCTGTGGAAGAACCTGGTATCTCCTGCACATCACAGGACTCACAGACCTCTGGGAGAAAGTAAATATAAATGGGTGCTAATCTTAAACACACCCTTGGACAAAGACAAGACAGACAGACTCCAGGCCTCATTTGAGTTCTGGGATGGATACTCTAATCCCTCTAAACCATGCCACTGACTGACCTTTTACACACTGAGATAGCATTTCTTCCACACCAGGCCATGTCCTGTGAGTGTGTGAGGTGTGGCAGAATTGGGGAAATGATAATCCCCGTAGATGGCCAGCAGAATATTTGAGATCACTGTCAGAGCAAAGAAAACACATCATCTCCCCCAACCTCATGACTTACTTGACTGCTTAAAATGGGTGTCACCATCCTCCATCTGTCATCTTAACTGCATCACAGGTTTTATATTTTCAGACCTTTCCCACTAACCATCTGCCCGGCGAGTGATGACTCATACAAAGCTCAGTGCCCATTGGTTCTTTTCTCAGACTCTGTCCAATCCCAGGGTCACAGAAGACTACTTGGGTTCATGGTCTCTAATATTTCAGACAGGAGCTCCCTTTAGTGAGTCCTTCTTTTCCTGACTGCAGCTCATTTCATTTTGCCATCCTTTTCCAGCTCCATGATGGTTCTGCAGGTTTCTGGGACCCCCCAGACAGTGGGTCTGATGGCGTTACTGATGGTGCTGCTCACATCTGTGGTCCAGGGCAGGGCCACTCCAGGTAAGAGCAGAGCTGCCATTCCTGGAGGGTCTGGTTCAGGGAACAATTCCTAGGGGACTTTATCTTTAAGGGATCAAATTCTGAGACAGGCTGCGGGGGCTCCCGCCCTAAGGCAGTGTCCTCCCTTCCCAGCTAGAGAAAGAGGTTCGTCCCCTATAGGATAGCTTGTTATCCTACAGGCCTATTCTCTCTCCAAGGACATGGATACAGCAAACAGAGAGAGGTGCCCAGTGGTCAGTATGCTTGTCTTTGGGAAAATGGGGCCAAGAGATCCAGGATAAACTTGATGGACAATGTTTACAGAGAGAGAAGGTGGCAAGTGCAGGCTCCTGGGCATGCTCACATCTGCATCCAGCCTGGAGGGGACTCAGGCAGAGAGCCCTAAGCTGGAGTGTCCAGGCTCTGAGGATCACTGAGGATTACGTGCTCATGAAGAATGCCTCTCATTCCCCAAGGTTGAGCAGGAGCCCACACCCTTTGGACATTGAAGGCAAGATGGGAGGGAGGGTTGGGGACAGGTTTTAGCCCCTGAAGGCATTCTCATTAAAGGTACTTCTCCCAGCCTCCCCGGAACTTGGTGAGAGTACTAGAGGGGGTTGAGACTTGTAGGAAGAATGAGATGAGGTTGTGTGGGTGCATAACAGGGATTGAGTGCAGGTTATCAGACAGCCAAGAAAGCAGTAACCAAGTGAAAAATATCTTCTTCCTGCCGCCTCCCTGTGGCTGGTGTAATATTATGGCATCTATGATCCATTGTTTTTCTCTCAGGATACTCTCAGGATATTTCTAGTCCAAATTTACACCAACACTCTGAGAGGAAGGACTGTAAAGTAGGTGCCTTAGTTTTCCACTGACTTCCACCTTTCCTGCTTACACCCTTCCTCCTAGACCCCTTCACACCCCTCCTAGGACACACCTAGACGGTACTGACATCATGTCACCTCCTTATCTTTCAGGGTAGCAAGGTTGGAATCTCCTGAATACAGCCCCTCAAACCCTAAAACCTCTTATCTATTACCTTGGATTCATTGTCCGGGAAGGGGAGGAGAACTTGAACTTGTAGTCACAGAGGGGTGCTGAGAACTAACCAGTAGGACGGCTCAGCCCTGGGAACTGCAGAGGGGTGAGGCTGGGGAGAGAGGAGGTTGGAGCAGTGCTGGTGACACTGAAGAGTGTCCAGCAGAAGGTGAGGGGACGCAGCGCCCCCATCCCATAGGCAGAGCTGTCATGTGGGATGAGGGACAGTGTTGGGAGCCACCAAGGTAACCCAGAGGTGGGAGAGCAGAAGGGGGCATGTGACGCTGGGCAGTGGACAGGAGGAGGGGCAAAGGCTAGGTTGAGGTTTGTAGGGGGAATGAGATGAGGCAGTGGAGCCATGTGACAGGGACTGAGGGTGTGTTACTGCAGCTCCCTGCATAGAATGAATGTTCAATCAAAACCTGCTGGAGGGAGAGCTGGAGCCATAGGGGAGTAGGTAGAGAGGGCAGGGCCGATTCCACAATTCCCCGTATGCTCTTACAACTCCACACACATCCCAAACTTCAAACAGGGCACAAGAGAAAAGGGCTGAGGAGCCAGCCTGTGGCTTAAAGAGGCTGAGGGAGGAAAGCTTGGCTGAGACAATCCATAGGGAGCTGGAGGTTTTTACTATCTTCTGTTCTGAGTGAGAGATGAATTCATTCAGATCAGTGGTTTCAAACTGTGCTCTGGGCAACTCAATTGTTAAGAAACAGAGTAAAGTTTCTTATATACAAAAAAAAAAAAAAAATGAAGATTTCAAATTATACCATAAAACCCCTCATCGCTTATATCTCCTTGGCAGGTAAAATTCCATTTCAAAAGTTAAATGTATTTTAAAAATTACCTAAGACTGGGTAAATAAAAAAGGAATTAAATGCTGCAAAGAAAAAATTCAAAATTCTTATTCTTGAGTGAAAAAATATTCTCTTGCTGGTGATTGAAGAGGAGAAACAAAGACTAACAAAAGAAAATGGGAGAATCCACACTCAGAGCGGGGCAACTGAACAGGGAGGGGCGGGTGGATGGCAGAGGAGGAGGAATCTGGTCTCAAGGAGCTGAGGGGCGCTGGGCCTGGAAGTTTATGGGGCTGGGGCCCAAGGCACCAGGAGAAGAGGCGGGTCAGGATATCTGAGTCAAGGCCTGGGATCTTGCCTTAGCAATGACACTGGAGACTAAAGGTGGACTCTATGGTGCCCCTGAGCCCAGCCCCACTCCATCTCCACTGTCCTCTGCAACTAGCTATGCAGCTTTTGTGAGGGTTGATGTTAATAAACTGGAGAAGTTAATTTGTGGAGCATGAAACAGATGAGCAGAACAATCACAGTACCTTAATTTCCCCAATGTGCCCAAGAACAGAGCAGGCCTGAAGAGACTCAAACAGAAACAAACATGTGCCACGTCACTAATACTTCTGTGTAGACACACACCTGCCAGACACTGCTCCCTGGCCTCCCTAGGAACAACAGCATGTGGGAAAGGCTGCCAAAGTTCTTTATGTAAAAATTACATCAATGCTGTCTTCCTTGGTGCTGCCTATGGAGCTGGCAGCCATCTCTTCCTCCGCATCATGGCCTCCCTCAGACTCCTCACGCAGCCCAAGATCCTCAAAAAGAAGACCAACAAGTTCATGCGGCACCACTCAGACTGAAATCTCAAAATTAAGTGTAACTGGCAGAAACCCAGAGGTCTTGACAACAGGGTTCTTAGAAGGTTCAAGGGTCACATCTTGATGCCCAGATCTTGCTTATGGGAGCAACAAAAAAATAAAGCGCGTGCTGCCCAGTGGCTTCCAGAAGTTTCTGGTCCACAACATCAAGGAGCTGAAAGTGCTGCTGATGTGCAACAAATCTTACTGTGTTGAGATGGCTCACAGTTTCCTCCAAGAACTGCAAAGCCATCGTGGAAAGAGTCACCCAGCCAGCCGTCAGTCACCAACTGCAATGCCAGGGTGCGCAGCGAAGAAAATGAGAGAAAGTTCACGTCCATGTTTTCTGTTTAAATAAAACCATAAAAACTGCCCAAAAAGATTAGATAAATTCCTGTAAACCCAAAGGACTCCACCCCAACAGGTCCCTGGTTGTTGTGGTGATTTTCATTGTTTAAAATATTTTCCACATCTTTTGACACCAAGTCTTTCTGCAGCCATGTTTGAAAATTAACTTTCAGGCTACAGAGTCTTTCTTATACCAAAGTTGAAGGAAGTTTTACGAAATATATTTCTACATTTCCTAAATGCAAAACAACAGGAACAGGTTGAGGAATTCTCAAGAAACTGGTAGAGAAGAGAGAGCGTCTAGCTGTGGAAAAGAGAAAGAAGGAAGGGAGGGCTTCCTGGAGGAGGTGGCATTTGAACCAGGACTAATATCAGGATGGAAATGTCAGGCAGGGAGTTGAGTAGGGGGAGCAGCTCGGCCCTCCACGTCCCCAGCTCCTCCCGCCCCTGTTTTTTCTCCCAGCGACCCCACGTGAAACGTCTCCCACTCCTCCTCCAGCTGCCAGCAGAAGGGACTGCCTTCCCCTCAGTGTTCGCCCCTCCCTAGTGATCACTCAGTCCCCCTGAGCAGTGAATCTCATTCTTTTCAGTAAATTCTCTCTGCGTGGTGAGAAAACAGGCCTGGAGAGGCTCTGCGACCTGCCTAGGACCACAGAACTCGGTACTAGGAAAACTCCTATTTTAAAATCCAGCCCTGAGTGGGAAGATTTGGGAAGAATCGTTAAAATTGAGAGAAGGGGGGAGAAAGGGGATTAGGTGAGAGTGGCGCCCCCGCTCATGTCCGCCCCCTTCCCGCAGAGAATTACCTGTTCCAGTTACGGCAGGAATGCTATGCGTTTAATGGGACACAGCGCTACCTGGAGAGATACCTCTACAACCGGGAGGAGTTCGTGCGCTTCGACAGCGACGTGGGGGAGTTCCGGGCGGTGACGGAGCTGGGGCGGCCTGATGCGGAATACTGGAACAGCCAGAAGGACATCCTGGAGGAGAGGCGGGCAGTGGTGGACACGATGTGCAGACACAACTACGAGCTGGACGAGGCCGTGACCCTGCAGCGCCGAGGTGAGTGAGGGCTTTGGGGCGGGGTTCCCAAGGCAGCCACGGGGGCCCGTGCCCAGGGCGCAGAAGCAGCCAGGCCGGCCTAAGGGACCTTAGTGCCAGGCGGAAAGGGGACTTTGGGCTGCAGATTCATGGGGGAGCCCATCTGGAACATGTCAGGGGAGGGAGCGTGCGGACCTGGACTGGGCTGATCATGGAGTGAGGAGGATGGGAGCAGAGAGACCCCCTGGACTTCGTCAGGCCTGGCAGCTGACTGCATATGGGATGAGAGGAAAGGAGGCCACAGGAGAGCGTGCAGGGGTGTGGTGTGGAGATGGAGGTGGAGACGGCACAGCAGGCCATACAGAGAAGAAACCTGCAGGGAGACCCCTGGGTTTCAGATACTTGAGTGGCCAGATGGGTGGTCTGAAGGGAAGGTAAACAGAAGGGTCTGCAGCCAGGGAGGAGACTGGGCTACATGAGACCACCCAGGGAGAGGGACCCCGGGGGAAGAGCAAAGGGCTGGATCCTGGGAACTGGACAGTTGTGATTTGGCCAAGACAGAAAAGTCTATGAAAGAGACAAACAAACAAACAAACCAAACAAGTGCAGTGTGAGGAGACGCCCTCAGAGAAGAATCCTGGAAGTTGAGGGGAGGGGACCTCAGCAGCGTAGTGGACAGCGGTGCCAGTGACTTGGAAAGGTCAGAAAACAGGAGACGGAAAGTGGGTTTGGAAATCAGGGACACCTGGGGAGAGCAGGTTGACTGCAGCGGTGGGAGCTGGAATGGGAGGGGGTGGATGAGGCTGAGTATGGCGCATCCTCCTCAGGGCTGAGATGGATTTTATTTGTCTTGGGCTCCCCATGGCTGGCACAGGGCAGTGTCTGAGCTCATTCATTATTTCCTTCAGGAAGTCTGGGTGTAAAGGGATGGAGAGAGGTGAGATGTGTTCAGTAAGAGGATTTCTTAAGGATGAGACAGGAGGGCCTTGGAGCTTTGGCTTCCTCCTGTGAACTTGTGGAGTGGGGAGCCTGGTGCACCAACCTGAGGGACCTGAAAGCAGCATCAGGGTGTGGGGTTGAGCCCTGGGACTTTTTCCTAGAGAGAAGAAACAATGAAGGGAGGAGGAGGAGGAAGCTGGGGAGATCACATCTTTGATTTCCTTGTTCCTGGAAATGGAAAGGAAGTGCACCTGCTAGGAATGAGAAGGTGGACACATTGGGTGGGGATGAGGTGAGTGACATGAGTTTAGGAAAGTTGCTGAGGTAATGGTTGAGAGAGGTGCTCAAAGAAAACTAATGCAATTGGCAAAAACTGTTACTAAGACTTTGTAGAGGCACAAATCAGCGACATGGCAGCATTTTCTTTCACAGTAATCAGCTGCCAGATTGCAGAGAGCCCTGATGCCAGCCTAAGGAGTGTGGGTTTTTCCTCTAGACCTGCAGGTCCCCAACCTCACTGCTCAGAAGACTCTCCTGGAGACCTTCTGTGATGCACAGATCCCCAGACTCACTGCCCCGAGACTCAGATTTCCTGGGTGGGGAGGTCTGAGGATCTGTTTGTAATCAGCTCCTTAGAGGTGCCCATGTAGCCAGATAAGTATTGTCAGAACACTGAAGATTTTTGAAAATTGAAAAAGACAAGGTTGGAGCTGTGTCTTCAGAACACTACTAAGGGTGTTGGGTAGAGGAGGGACCAGAGGCAGGGAGATGAGGTAGAAACTGCTATTATTTGTCAGGGAAATTGCAAGGAAGGCATGAATTAGAACAGGTAAAACACAGAGGCAGGGGAGAGGTGGAATGGGGAGGAAAGGAGTAGTGACAATTCCAATGTGGATGCCCACCCAAATCTAGAAGTAATTGAGCAAATGTTTTCTGGGCATTAGAGAAGGCAACTAGAACAAACAGGAATCCTTGCCTTGGTGAAATGTATTTGAACTGGGTCAGAAATGAGGCCATTGGGTATCAAGCCTTAGCTCCAGCACCCCCTGGAGGTTGCTGATGTGCTCCAGGCTGACCTGCTCCCGTCAAAGAATATTGAGAAAGATGCCTCTCATGGAATGCTCTAGGACCTTAAAACAGACACTCAAGTATTCCCCCTGATTTCATGGTTCCCAGGAGCTCTATGGGGAAGAAATTGTACATAATTCACAACTGAGATTTAGACATGGGTTGAATAGTCTAGTGGACGTTGAGTTTACAGAGGTGATGATGTAGTGAGACACAGGTGCCCCTGAAATAAACTCTCATTGAGGGAAGAGGCTGGCAATGTGGATCAGTCTGTGAACAAGGCAAAAATACAATAGGGAGTGAGGGTTGTGGGTCAGTTCAAGACGGTGCTTTCACCTGGCCCAGCCCCATGTCAGGGTATTTTTGTTCTCCGGAAGTAGAAAGGAAAGAACTGAGTGATTAGGGACCTAGAAGACTAATTTGAGACACATCTCTTGATGAGATGTTCTCTAGGGGATTCCTCTGAATGAGCTGTTCTCTATTGGATTTCCCTGAATGAGCTGTTCTCTAGGAGCACTTGACCCTTTTCTGTGTTTGTTTTTTGTTTTGTATTTGTGTTTGTTTTTGAGACAGGTTCTGACTCTGTCTCCCAGGCTAGAGTGCTGTGGCACCATCATGGTTCACTGCAGCCTCAACCTCCTGGGCTCAAGTGATCCTCCTGCCTCAGCCTCCCATGTAGCTAGAACTACAGATACAGGTACCACCATGTCCAGCTAATTTACTTTTCTTTTTAGAGATGGATTCTCACTATGTTGCCCAGGCTGGTCTCGAAACCCTGGGCTCAAGTGCTTCTCACACTGCAGCCTCCCAAAGTGCTAAGATTATAGGCATGACCACCCTGCCTGGCCTTTTCTGCCTTCTGAGGAGGAAAAAGGTACTGGTGGCAGAGATCCAAAAGAAAAGTTGCAGGTGGCAGTTGTGGAAATTGACCTGAGAACAACGGAACAAGCTGGGGTACAAATCCAGAAATGCAGAGGGAGGCAACACCTGGTCATCTGTGAAACCTTCACGGGACCTGAAGACACAGCACAGAGGAGGAACTTGGAAAGGATGGGATTTTCTACTACTCAAGCATCTAGGGCTCAGGATATTCTGTAAATATGAAGATTTTGAGTTTTTGTAGGTGAGGTAAAAAAATACATAGGTTATTTACAGAATAAGATATGTCAAACTCTCCTCATTTTCTTTGTATTTTCATGAAATAAAGTTATTAGATTAACAGGCGGCCATAATTCCATTGTCTGTATATCTTAATTGCAAGATATTATTTGAGTAAATTTTGCATCCTTTGTATGAAGATAGAACTTTGAAAAGATAGGTAATTTCACAGTTGGTTAAATATTCTTTGCCCAAATTACTTTGGTTAACATTTCTCCTAAATGCACTACAGAGTGCAAACTGTCTCCCTGCCATTCCCCTATATGCTTACTAATTATTATTTTATTCAAGATCATGCATGCTCTACCTGAAGGTCTATTTCTATCTTTTCAGTGCTACCCTTACCCACTAGGCTAATCACATTATTCCTATTTTCAGCATCTAGGATCAATTACATAGTGAACATGCCTAAGAAATAATGATCTGGCCAGATGCAGTGTCTCAGGCCTGTAATACCAGCACTTTGAGAGGCCGAGCGGGTGGATCCCTTGAGGTCAGGAGTTGGTCAAGTGCTCCTAGAGAACCAGCCTAACCAACATGGAGAAAACTTGTCTCTACTAATAATACAAAAATTAACCAGGTGTGGTGGCAGGCACCTATAATCCCAGTTATTCAGGAGGCTGAGGAAGGAGAATTGCTTGAACCCAGGAGCTGGAGGTTGCAGTGAGCCAATATTGCGCCACTGCACTCCATCTCAGCAAAAAGAAAGAACGCAAGAAAGAAAGAGGGAGATTACGTCTCAAAAAAAAGGAAGGAAGGAAGGAAGGAAGGAAGGAAGGGAGGGAGGGAGGGAGGGAGGGAGGGAGGGAGGGAGGGAGGGAGGGAGGGAGGAAGGGAGAGAGAATCTCAAATGCTATTTCATTATTTTTCTTCCCCATCCCTAGTCCAGCCGAGGGTGAATGTTTCCCCCTCCAAGAAGGGTCCCTTACAGCACCACAACCTGCTCGTCTGCCACGTGACAGATTTCTACCCAGGCAGCATTCAAGTCCGATGGTTCCTGAATGGACAGGAGGAAACAGCTGGGGTCGTGTCCACCAACCTCATCCGTAATGGAGACTGGACCTTCCAGATCCTGGTGATGCTGGAAATGACCCCCCAGCAGGGAGACGTCTACACCTGCCAAGTGGAGCACCCCAGCCTAGACAGTCCTGTCACTATGGAGTGGAGTGAGTTAGTCTCTGATGACCCTCTAGACCCCACCTCTGAAGAGCAGGGACTCTCTGGCTCTGGGGTCCACTCATCTTGTCTTCTGCATCTATACCCTGTGGCCATGTCCAACGCCATCTTTCTTCTGTACGGGCTCCTGAGTGTAGTTTCAAGCTGGGACAATGGAGACTTGCCTGACCCTGGCCTAGGGGTCCTAAGGATTCATGGTTCCCCCACTTGTCAGAGAATCTAGGGACACAGACACCTTCCTGAACTGACCTCACACATAGGAACGGATCTCTTCCTTCAGCATTTTAGCCTCTTCTCAGGCATTTTGAGAGGCAACTTCCAGAATCAGCATTTGCCACCTGTTCCAGATATGAGGGTGGCTCTTTCTGAATTTCCTCTTATGCAAGGTTGCAAGGTTTTTCCCCCTGCACTGTCCTCATCCTGATATTCTGCACCCGGCTCCAGAATCTCACACAGGACATAAGTAGGGATGCAGCTGGTGGAGGTGACACTAAACCTGGGTCTGTCCTTCCCAGAGGCACAGTCTGATTCTGCCCGGAGTAAGACGCTGACGGGAGTCGGGGGCTTCGTGCTGGGGCTCATCACCTGTGGAGTGGGCATCTTCATGCACAGGAGGAGCGAGAAAGGTGAGAAGGCCTGCAGGGTGAGCGGGACTTACCTTCCCCGGCATATCCACACTTACTCCATGATGAGGGGTTCAGACAGAAAAGAAAAGTCAGAAAGCTCTAGAGGCCACTGAAATCAGATAGTCGGGGAACAAACATGACCTATAGTGAGAGAGGTATCCCAGGCTAGGATCTTAATGCAGCCAGATGCATGAGGTCCCAAGTACTCAGGCTCCTGCGAGGCATCCATTGAGTGATGACCCATGGAAGTTGGTGGGATGGAAATGTTTCTCGAATTATCTGAGGTGGTGTCAATGGCCAAATACAAAACCCTTCCTCTTTCATTTCAGTTCAACGAGGATCTGTATAAACAGGTAATATTCCTGCTTTGATTTCCTTGTGGGGTGGGTTACAGGAGGATATGAGTCCTTTCTGTGCAATGTGGCACTGAGGCTCCTCTAGGAAGAGAATCTCAGGCCTGAACCCCTCTTTCAACCTCAGCCTTCGGGTGAGTGGGGAAAGAGCATTGCTTGGCTCCATTGCTGAAGGAAGCAGAGATCAACTCTGTTCTTTATCAGCCTGAGACAGCCTCTCACCTTAATTTTTCTCTCTTGGACTTAAAGGAAGGAGGCCAGCAACCTGAGATAACTTGTCCTTTACCCCCACAGGGTTCCTGACCTCACCGAAAAGACTAATGTGCCTTAGAACAAGCATTTGCTGTTTCGTTAGCACCTGGTTCCAGGACAGACCTCCAGCTTCCCAAGAGGATACTGCTGCCAAGAAGTTGCTCTGAAGTCAGTTTCTATCGTTTTGCTCTTTGATCCAAAGTACTGTTTCTCTCACTGGGCCTCCAACCATGTTCCCTTCTTCTTAGCACCACAGATAATCAAAATCCAACATGAGTGTTTGCTTTCCTTTAAAAATATGCATCAAATCATCTCTTGTCACTTTTCTATGAGGGTTTTAGTAAACAGTAGAAGTTAATAAAGAAGTTCATTTCGGTTTACATGTAGGAAAGAAGAGAACCATGAAAATGGGGATATGTTAACTATTGTATAATGAGGACTGTTAGACGTGGCGCTCTTCTGAATTGACTGTATTTCAGTGAACTGCCCCCAAATCGAGTTTAGTGCCTTCATCCATTTAGGTCTCAGACCACTATTCTTAGCTATTCCATGGTGAACAGACTGCAAATCTGCCTGATAGGACCCATATTCACACAGCTCTGATCCAACATATAACTTACTAAGAGGATGTTTTATCATTACTATTAAGAAGTTAAATTAATATCAGAATTTAAAATTATAAATTTTATAAGTCTAATACACTTTAACCATTTTCTTTGCATGCCATCACAAATACTACTTAACCAAATATGACTTGGCCTTTCGAATGCATTCAGTAGACGTCATTTGTCGTCTAAGTTTGCATTCATCCACCAGCCTAGACCTCCTGTCTTCATTTTCATACAGACAGAAATGCCTCCGCACTAGGGAAAGAGCAAAGAAATACGTGTAGCACTTTTCTTCAAACACTGGCCTCTTTGGTTTTTTTTAACAATCCAACATTGTTGTGTTTTGCGTCTCGTATTGACACCTTTCAGTCAAGGTAGAGGACATGTTTGTTGTAAACTTTCTTTTTTGTGTAGAGGATGAATTCTTCACTCCTGATACACATAAGCAGTGCACAGCAGCTCTCTGATACGTCCAATTGATGCCTTCAATCTCCCTGGCTTCTTACAAGCATCTTCTGGGCCTTGTGTGTCCCTAGTCAATTCGCAAAAACTACTGTGCTCCTCTTGCCCACCTCCCCTTGCAAATAATATCCACCATATGGGGACCGGCTGCCTCCAATTCCAAGAGAGGTGGGGCTGAAGGTACAGACTTGGGCTTCACTGGCACAGATACAAGTAAATATAGCTGGAGTCTGCAGAGAGGATGGACTAAGTGAGGGAGTCAGGAAAGAGAAGCCACCCATAAGGATAACAAATTATGTCTCATAATCCTCTTAACCTAGGGAATAGGACAAAATCATTTTTTCTTTTTAAAACATCCTTATGCCTGCTCAGCCTCATTTCCTCAAAAACTATAAAGGAAAATGCTACTGACTTGTTTCTGTGTAGTAATTTCAGCTGTCACATAATGGGGTAATGAGGCCAGTATATAGTAAATAAATGAGGACCCTTTATCTGTCTTATTTTCACTTTGGCTTCACAGGAAACTTGTGAGAAATCTTTGCGGTGGAAAATTAATATGATTTTAATCCAGGGAGTCATCGATGGAAGGAGGTAATGAGAATAGCAGAAAGTCTTCAAATTGAGATGACTATGAAATCCTCAGACCCAGAGCACATAAATCTTACCCTCAGAGCCACGGAGCAGTCAACATTACAAACCATATCCCATCAGAGTCATTCTGTTCCATGCTTGTCACCTATACCCACGTTACAGGTTAGGGAGTACCCAGAGTGGAGTGAACAATCTCTGGACTAACACCTGGCAGGATCAGAAACTGAGGGATCTGCACCCACATTACAGGAACAGGATATGTGCTCTTAGGGAACTGACGGTATAAGGAGATAAGGAAAGGTCCTGCAGTCACAGAAAGAAGGCATCAGACATGTCTCACTGTGACATATGCAGGTGTTTATGAAACTCTGGGATTTCTAAGGAAGGATGCAGTGCAGAGAAAGGTCCCAGAGGAGACAAGAGCTGAGAGACCATCCAAATTGGGAACCACCTTGTCACTAGACTTCAAATTTTCAATATTTATAGTGTTTTCTAAGAGTCAGGCCCCTTGCTGAGTTCTATGTGCAGCAGAATCAAAGGCAGCCAGGAGGCAGAGGAGTCTTGAGGTACATCAGTCACTGGGGCTGAAGAGCAGAGATTCAAAGGAAAGCTGGGACTGGAGCTTTAAAGGAGAGATGAAGCTGGTGACTCCCCTGTGTCAGCCTCTGACTCAGAAAGATGGAATGCAGTAGAACACACCCCGTGGGCTTACTCCCAGCTGAGTGTTGTATCCCCCACCCCTTTCCACCTGGTCCCTTCATTTTCTACCCCTCACAGTCCCCTAAGGAGAAGGTGGTCCACCCAACAGATGATGCACCCCCAGATGGTGATCAAGGGGGACCCTAAGGAGAAGTCATTTCATCCTCCCTTTGTGCCCATTTGTCAAGTAGCAGTGAGGCTGAGCCAGGGGATGGTGAAAGTGGAAGGAGGTGGGAGTTGGGCATGGGCTGTGAAGATGCTCTTTAAAGGGATTCTAATAACCACTTGCTACCAGGTCAGTGAACACTTATCACAGTTGACGCCTTTTGAGCACATCACATTGTAAACTATCCCTGAAATTCCTGTGCACTTGGCTTATGGGATGAAACATCCTTCTAGTCCTCCTGTCCCTCAGGTTCTTTGAAGTCTCATTGAGCACCTTCCCTTCAACTCCTTTTACACAGTAAGAATAGGATCAGCTGTGCTAAAGTAACAAATACCCAGATATCCAGGTTTGGCTCACGCTACACGTCCAAAGTAAGTTGTCCGGGAAGCTCTGCTCATCATCTTACTCAGGAAGCCAGGCTGACAGGCTTTCTCCTGCACCTCTGCTCCCAGAACCTCCCCAGAAGAATGAAGGGAACCTAAGAAATCATTCACTGGCTCTTAATGATCCCTCCTAGAAAGAACACACTTCTCGCATCTCATTTTCCAATGTAAATCACATGGCTGCAACTAACTTCAAATGAGTGGGAATCCTTGAAAGTGGAAAATATTTAAGAAGTACCTATTAAATAAATAATAAAATACTTCTACAAGAGATATTTATGGAAGACCTACTGTGTACCAGGAGCAATGCTAGGCATTATGGATATCAGTAGCCTTTGGCTCCTGAAAAGTTTACAAACTACCTCCTGGCCTAAGGAGAGGCACAGGGATACTGGCAACGGTCTATTTCTTCACCCAGGTGCTAGTTACATGAGTGCTTGTGGTGATAATCATTCAACGTACGTTCTATTGGTTTGTGTGTTTCTTCCAAATGTCCCCTAGCTCACAATAAAAGGGCTTAAATAGAGAAGTAAAGGAGAATTTGGAAATTTGAAGCAAAAGCAAGAAGCCAATGAATCAAGCACAAATACTGAGTTTTGATAAAGATTGGAATAAGAAACATAATAAATGAGATAATAAATAGGACTTTTGCAACTGAAGTGTAATTAATAAGCAAAAAGTCAGGCTGAGAAACTGCCCCAAGGAAAATATGATGGAGCAAACAATAGAAAATGTAAAGGAAAAGTGAAGAGAAATGAAGGATAGAAACAGACATCTGACATCTTGATAATTAGACATCTAGAAAGTCAGGGAAATAGCGGAGGGAGAGGAAATAACTGAAAACATAATGTTTAGTCTTTATAGAAAGATGAAATAAGTTCATTCAAAATGCTGCATAGAATGTCAGACTATTTCTTAAACAATTTTGTTAGAGCGAAATGACTGAAAACAAACGAGATAATTATGTGAATTAAGAGGATGGAAAAGTAGAAAAACAGCAAAAAGAAAATACACATAAACAGTAAGGACAAAAGCTGAATTCAATGAAATATAAAAATAGGGGAGACAAACAAAATCAAATTTTGAGGCAATGAAAACTTAATGAGACCTCTGGCAAGACTCCTAAGGAAAATACAGGAGATTCAGAATGAAAAGGGGAAATGACTATTTGTACACACATTTTAAAATGCGAAATCTTACAACCAACTCTATACGTATAAATTTGAAAATTTAGATTAAATGGATGCATTTCTAGAAAGATATAAAGGTCAAAACGACAGGAAGAAATAGAAAACTAAAATAGAGTAGAGAATATCAAAGAAATTGTCATGGGAAGCAAAGAATCGCCTTCCAAAAGGCCCTGTCCTGATCATATTGCCGTTAGGGGCATCCTCCCACATTTCCAGGAGCAGATTATGCCTCTTACATGTGTGATTCTAGAAAACAGAATGGAACAGCATTTTTGAGATCATTTTATGAGGTTGGTTCATTCATATTTCCAGAGCCAGTCACTGAATCTAACAGTACATTATAAAAACAATCAGTTTTGACCAATTTAGATTTATTCTAGGAATGCAATGATCCTTCAGTGTCGGAAAATATATAATGTGGTTAACACATTAGTGGACTCCACAAAATTCATATTAATTTAAACTGAATTCAGCTCAAGACATAGACAGAATTTAATCAATTTCATGATGTGTTAAAGATAGTGAACCAAAAGTCTATAGCTTATATATTTCAAAGAAATGAGGTGGATTCCCTGTGAGATTGTGCAAAAGATAGGATGTCCTTCGTTGCTGGAAATGTTTAACGTGGCATTGGGAGTTCTGAACATCCCTCTGCGGGCAGAAGAAAATTAAGGCTGTGTAAAATGGAGGAAGACAGATTGTGGGTGCAGATGAAATAATCTAATACTGGACAAGACTGCAGCCACTGTTGGTCCAAAGCCTGAGTTTAAATCCAAGCTTTGCACTTTGAAGTTGTGTGGCCTTCACCTCCCCCCGTGTCTGATTCCCTCTCTGTAACATGAAATAAATAAGAACCAACCTCCACATGTAAATAAGTGAACACATGAGAAGCACTTAGAATAGTGCCTGGAACACAGTAAGCAACCCAATGAATGTCATTTCTCATTACATTTGTTAGTGTTTTCATCCAGCCCAATGGCACTAAAACATCAGTGCTCAAAGAGCCCCTGGTGAAGCGTTTCTCTTTCCCATTCTTCACCCCTAACTTTTTATCTCGTCTATTCCACTGTGTCCCTAATGCACCTCTAGGATGACTCACAGGAGCCCCTGGACCCAGGGATGCTGTCAGATCGCTTGGTCTTTGAGACGATGGTGCCATTGAGGATCCCCGCCAGGCCCATCAGCAGGCCGAGGGCACAGACCAGCATCTCCATGGTCTCAGGCACCTGGATTAGTTCCCGGATTAGTTATCTGTCTTCTAAGGGAAGACAGAGTAATAAGGTACAGAGAGCAGAGGCTGGGCTTGGGTGTGGGAGGTGTTGGGTATTTGAAATTATGAGATGGTGAAATTTGGATAAAGTGACCATAAAACATAGGATTGAGGGAAGCAGGTGCTGAGGGGTGATGGGTCCAGGAAATAAAGGTGGTGCCAATGCCGTGATGGCAGAGGGAGGGCGCCCCATACCCCAGTGCCTGAGGAGAGGCTGGTGCAGGTGCCAGTGCTCCCCCTGGAGGTCACAGGTGTCCTCAGCCGTGGGAAGGAGGATCGGGTAGTGGAACCTGTGGAAACTGAGCTTCTTGCTGGGCAGGAAGATGGTCTCTGCAATACCCTCAATGACTGACTCCATTGTGCAGCCACGTGATGTTCAGCGCCAGCAGGAAGAACTTATCAACATGGCAGATGAGGGTGTGGGGCTGGCCCAGCGCCACAGGCTCCTTAGGAAAGACAGTCACATCGGGGGGTTCCAAAAGGGGATAGAACCCAAGGAGCCTACTGCCATTGACTGAGTCTCAAAGGTTCCACCACCCCAAGCCCTATATTCACCAGATTAGGGGCCACCTCTCCCAGGCCCATCCTCCTGCTCCCCCAGGGCTCCCGGGCAGGGTCACAGCTTCTCTCCTGACCTGGGCCCCTCAGCCCAGCCTTTCTCTTGAGTAAGAAGAAAACACCTCCCCCTCTGCTGCCCTAAGAACCCAGCTGTGTGGCCCCAACACTGCTCGCTCTCAGGGAAGGGGCTCATTCATGAGTGGGCAGCATGGCCTGTAGTTCTCTGTGTGGCAGAGAGGCCCTCCTATCCCTCCAGCTGGACTGTAGAGCAACAGGCAGCTATAGGCAGTGCCATTTGTGGCCGAGGCCTGTTTGGACCATTGAACCGGGTGTTCGAGTGCTTCCTTGCCGTGACGATGCCAGCAATACACCTCTGAGCGCCACAGTCAAAGGTGTGAATAAACTCTGGTAGATGCCAGACCATCTCGTTCTCATCCAGGTTCACATAGAACTGCTCCTCCTCATCAAACTCAAACATACACTCTCCAGAGGGTCTGTGTGTCTGCACAAACTCTGCATATGTTGACACATGGTCTGCTGCATGAAGGAGAAGA